GGGCTACGTGCCTAAAGTTCCTACTAACACGGCTCGGTCAACGGTCCTTCAGGAATTCCATCCTCCACCTCATGTGTCGGCAGAAGAAGAGAAGCTTCATTTGCTCTGCCCCGTCAGAGCCTTGAGCGTGTACCTTGAGAGGTCCTCTTCTTGGAGAAGGTCGGACCAATTATTAGTATGTTTTGGGTCACCTAAGAAGGGACTCCCGGCATCCAAGCAGACTATTAGTAATTGGATTGTTCAGGCTGTTACTGAGGCTTACAAGGTGCGCGGCTTGCCTTCACCTTTAGCCGTGAGGGCTCACTCAACTAGAGGCATGGCTTCCTCTAGGGCCCTTCTTTCGGGAGTACCTCTACAGGAGATCTGTGAGGCAGCCGGTTGGGCTACTCCACATACTTTCATTAGGTTTTACAGTCTCCACCTTCCCAGTACGCCTGGCGCACACGTGCTCAGTCCTTGCTGAGTGCCTAATTAGCTTCACTCCGGGACAGACCTATTCGGTGCGTGGCCTAGTGGGCATTCGTTCCCCAAAGAGTCGATTCTCGACGCAGTGTAGAGTTCCCTCGAAAGGGAACGTCTCGGGTTATGACTATAACCCTTGTTCCCTGAGAAGGGAACGAGACACTGCGTCGTTCTGCCACGCCCCTCGAGGTTTGAGAGCGGCTTGCTTCATCGCTAGGCTAGTGTGTGTTGTTCCGGTTTCGCTTTTATGCATCCGGTTATGCCGTCACATGTTACGTCATGACGCAACACCAATCAGGATTGGAATAGTTTCATTCATACTTCAGAGGCGCACGCTAAGGGAGCGTCCCCAAAGAGTCGATTCTGGACGCAGTGTCTCGTTCCCTTCTCAGGGAACAAGGGTTATAGTCATAACCCGAGACGTTTTGTTAGCCACATTCTTCCAAATAACTTTTATTTTCAACAGAAGAAAGAAACTTATTCGGGTTTAAAACAACTTGAGAGAGTAAATGATGAAAATTAAAATGTTTGGGAGAACTATCCCTTTAATGTTAATAAAACAACAAAACACAAAGAGGAAATCACTCACTGCTCTTGACTGAGAACTTTAGTAGTAGCTTTAATAATAATCAATGTATAATTTATACAGTGAAGTCTATGTTGTGTTTTATTTTCGTATTTGTTCATTTAGCCTAATTACTTTCTTCAATGCTACTGTTAAATACCCCTACTGTAGCTGAAAAAATAAAGCACTGTTTATTTCATTTGTATATTAAGTTGTGTATGCTTAATGTGTATCTTTGTTCCTAATTCTTAATAACAAAGGAAATAATGATAAAGATTTTTATCTTCGCCACTTTGGCCTAAATGTCTGCCATTCTTTTTTCTTTTGTTACCTATAAGGCCTTTTTTTTTATAAATAGGGACATTAGTTTGGCTGTAATGCTCAGTCACTTGCAAAATAGTAAAACCAACATGAAAAAGAATCGTGATAAAATCGTTAATCGTGATTTTCCTGAAAAAAATCGTGATATGATATTTTTGCCATATCGCCCACCCCTACTTTCAGTCTACATTTTATATACTTCTCAGAAATATACTTTATGTACTTCTCAGAAGTATACTTAAAATTACACTTAAGTGTACTTGACTTATACTGAGAGAAAAGTCCAAGTATATTTGACCTGTACTTGTACTCAATCTTTTGATCAAGATTTTCTTAGAAGTATAATTAAGTATTGAAGTATACTTGGCTTGTCGTTGTGTTAACATATTCATGTTTTTTAACATAGTTTTTCATATACAGTCTTATGAAACTTACATTGTTTGAAAATATTGATTAGAATATTGATATAAAACAGATATGTTTCTAATTCTGCGTATCTGAATTTTTGTGTAGGCTAGTCCACTGGGAATAGGAATTTACTTTAATTCTACTTTAATTCAGAATTTTCCAGCTATCCATGTTTTCACTGTTATACGGTAGGGGGCGCTATGACACATCTTCTAGTACAGAACCTCTGGATCAAAACACAGGAGAAGAAGAAGTTCAAACAAGTGATAGAAGATTGCTCACACAAATGTAAAATAACGTAATCATCAAACAGTAAACAATGGACAGAGCCATCTCATTGGAACTCAGTTGAGACAGTTGAAGCCCATTTTTAGCGATTTTTGAGCACTTCCGTTCCTGACGCGCAGACTCAAACCGACTCAAACTAAGCTTGATGACGTGAGCAACCTGTCTGACAGACGTTAATCTTCTAGTAGCTGTGCGTGAAAATTGCCAACGTTAATCTTGCAGAGACGGGGAACTTGAGCAAAGAGTTCTTTGGCGTGAGTGAGCAGGAGTAAGTATTCCGTTGCTTTTATGGACTCATTATCTTTGGGCTTCTCCCTTGACGGGACGTCCCCCCGATTGCCTGCGAGCTTCTCCTCCTGTCTGTACAATAATTTCTGTACAGCGCGACAGAGAGTCGAGTGGTTATGACGCAATCGTTAGCCTATTTTTACTAAATCTGTTTCTACGGGGCCATAATGTAACATAGAAGGTAATGGAGCCCTTTATACATTGTCGTGTTTCTTTAGAAATAAATAATGGACAAATGGAGTCTTTAAACGCCTCAGATGTAAAGTTATTCGCTGTCAAAGTGACGCCAAAATGAATGGGAGTCAATGGAAATGCTAACGCAAGTGAAGTTCTGCTACAACATGGCGGCACCCGGCCGGCTTCAACTTCCGGTCGATGGATTACCCCCTTGCATGTAAATCAAACCTTTAAGGTCACCATTTTCTTTGTGAATGAATCGTCCTGCCTAATCATTCACATAAAACAATACATTGATTTAAATTTTGTAAGACACTTTTTGTTTGGAAAGGCAATATGCGTGGGGGTGTGAATGATCATGATTCTTATTCTTATTGGAGAGATGCAGAAAAATAATCTACGAGCTGCCTCGGCAAACGAGTGATCTGAGCCACTAGATTCTTATTGCAAATGCAGACCCATAATCTATGCGCTGCCTCGGGACACACGCGAGATCCAGGATCAAGTCACAGAATCTTATTGCAGACCAGTAATCTACGTGCTGCCTCGGCAGGTGAACGTGATTTCACCAAGTACCACATGTTCCTGGATCAACATCTTTGTTGATCCTGGATCAACTTTCCAATCAACCAATCAGATTTGAGGGACAAGTTTACAGTTTATATCAAGTTTAGGCTTAGAACCAGGATGAAGTACTTACACATCAGTGTCATTCACCTTTCATTACCCTCTGATTTTAGGGAAAAGTTATGGGTAGGGTTAGGTTTAGGCCGGGAAGGGATTGGGTAAGGACTACATTTTGGGACAGGAATGTTGATCCAGGATCAACAAAATATGTTGATCCAGGACCATGTCTTACTTGGCAAAATCACGGTGACCGCCTCGGCAAACGCGAGATCCGAGCCAAAGAATCTTGACTTTCTTCACTCGAGAAGAAAGCCAACAGGAGTAGAGCTCAAACTCTCGATAGTGCATATGTACCACGTCGGGAATTTATGAATGAACCCTGTCAGCCCTACTAGAGCCCTACCTTTTACTAGAGCTGACCGTGCATGCTCTACTCCCAAACAAACAACACATTAATCGCGTGTATCCCCACTCATAATAAAGCGAGGGCAGGGAGGAACACACGATCCAAAATGCTCGCCATTATATTCCTGTCTAGATATATAATATGCTTGTGGACAAACAACAATAAATAAACAGAGACAGATTCACACAGAGCGCTTGCTGAAGACACAGAAGATGACAATGTTTGGTCTGGGTGCGCTTTATAGCTTCCTGCCATGACATCACCCGCCTAATACGCCATTGGACTGATTTTACAAGTGCTTCATGACGCAATCACGCAGAGCGTTCCCATTGCGTCATCTCGACGCAACGTCTCGTTCCCTTGAGAGGGAACCTAGTTGTATACTTAAAGTTTACTACTGTTACCCTTATAGTACACTTAAACATATACTTTTATATACTAAAATTGGGCCAATTTAGTCCCAATCAGTATTGAAATAGTACACTTACAACTTACAAGTTTACTACAAGTACACATTGATATTAGTATACTTAGCCTACTATAAAAAGTACTTAAAAATATACTTGTACATTACTTAAGTATACTTCATAAAATGAACTTGAAGTATACTTATTTTTCGTAAGGGATACCAGCTATTTATGAGGCATAAGGTGGACTGACTCAGTAGCCTACAACTCGATCAAAAGTAGAGGGGCAAATTATATCATCCAAGATATTGGACAGACAGGAAACATGACACACTGTGAAGGAGGATTTCAGCTACCACAAGTCCTGTAATATTTCACACATCTGTAAAAACAAAACAGAGTTCAAACAGCCTTAAGCAGTGGTGCCAGGGGCCAACACATTCTTTCCCGCAGAACCTCTGTACACCACTGGGTTGTGCTAATGCCAGGATAAGTGCACTTAAGGTCTTCATCGTTTGGCCTCCGTCCCATTGCACATGCATTGACGTCTGCTTACTGCCAAAAAAGGGAAGACCTGTCCAACAGTAGCTCACGCTCGCAGGGCAAGAGTCTGTGATTTCATACTGCTCTTAGTGACTAGAAACTAGTAAACTCATAACAGTATGAACTTATATTTGCAATAGCATATGCAGCTCCGTGTAAAACAGGTACGTGGTGTGACACACACCACGTGATCTTGAAAAACCAGCTTGAACGTCACTGGTACACGACTTAATTAAGTGCTTTGACAGTTGACCAGTTGTGATGATCAGGGATTTCAGATACCATATAGATTATTTTATTTATATAAATATGTAGTAGGCCTAGCCTAGAACATACCTCTAAAATCAGTTCATTTAGTTGTTAGGCCCACCACGAAGGACATTTATTTTACATGACAAAACATATTTCAGTGTACAAATGTATTACTTATAATTATTAATATGATTCAATTATAAAATTATCAACTCAGACCGGTTGTTGCTAAAATAAAAACTCGTTTGTATCTTACCTATGTCTACTGGTCACCTTAGATCCACTCTGTGCAGCAGATACAGACTGACTCTCATCCACATGTTGAGTGTATCGTGACGCGTAAGTTCCCGCTCCCCAAATTTCTCCGGGCAAAATCAGGGCCAACAGAGCGAACAAGTAAACAAAATATTGTGCCATGACGTAGAAGTCAAAACAGAATTTAAAAATGCGATCGTTAAAAAAAGTACATCCAAAAACTTCAACGTAGAAAATCCGACTTGTACCTACACACCGAGCGCAGTCCAACAGCCCCACTAACTCTCCATGAGTCGATGTTCAGCACTGATATGTTTCATAAAGTTCTGTGTAGATAAATGTTTCTGCCCCGCTGTCATCATTTCGCGCAGTGTTCATTCATCGCAAAAGATGCTCCCGTCAGTTTCCCCAAGACACACGGTCCACACTCAAACCCTAATGAGAAGTGTCCGTTTTTTTTCTCTCGTCCGCGTCCGCCCAGTCATAATGTGAAAACTGCCCTGAATAGATGCGGATCCAAATCTCTCTCTCTCTCTCTCTCTCTCTCTCTCTCTCTCTCTCTCTCTCTCTCTCTCTCTCTCTCTCTCTCTCTCTCTCTCTCTCTCTCTCTCTCTCTCTCTCTCAGGATGGAACCACGCTCTGCTTTTAAATTTCTTTTCAAATGTGACTCCAGTAGGCTATAAACTCTAATTATAACAGACATATAACTGTTATCTATTTAACCCATTGTCCTTTCATTACTCTGTTTTTGTTTCATCTGTGGTCTTTAAGGCATTGGAATTTGGCCCACTTAAAAAAAAAATCAGTTATGACTGCTCACATTTGTTTGTAAATTCCTAATATATACCAGGGGTTTTCATACTTTTTGATGTCTAATAAGATCTCCTAATATGATGATAGCTGAAGGTAGCTATACTTTCATGTAGTGTAGCTACTCATTTAAACTGTGTGTGGCTTCAATGGCTTTTATACTGTCGCTGTATTGAAATATTTGCTAGTTGACATTGCATTTTCTTTAACCTGCTATTATGGTTAGATGTATAAACCTGAAGATAAACATTTTCAATTAAATTCAGATTCATATTTGTAAAGTATAATTATATACTTATAATTATATACCCCAAAATATTTTTTTAAAATACTGCTAAAAATAGTTTAATTATTTAAAAGTGCAGTATGTAATATTGGCTGAAAGCTAGTGGTTGAAATGGGTACTGCAGTCAAAAATTAAAAAAATTAATTGTTTCTCCCGCCTCGAGTCATGCGACGCTCACGCAGATTGCCAAATTGGGACACGCAACAGGAACAAGCACAATCAAAAAATGGAAGGCGACAGATAAGTTGATGAGTTGATTTTTCAGTTTCTGGATATAGAGCTTTTTGGTGCATTGATGTCGAGGCTTTTTGGGTTAGGTAGAATCTGCGATCTCTGACCTAGTTTGTTTGCTGGCTTCCATGCGCTGTATTTCCCGCCAACTGTCAAGTAGCAGGCAGGATCACACAGACTAAAACTAAAACAGGCATTCCGACACGGAACGCACAATTAAGTAGAATAATTGGCTGTAGCATTGTTTTTCGGAGAAACAAGTTTGTCATCTTAGCATGTTTCCTAAATCGCAAACATATTATGGTATTTTTATGCTTTATACAGTAAAAAAAAAATGTCATGCACCTTTAAAGTTATAACATGACAGCACTAAAAATGAAAAAGAAAACGATTTAAAAAAAAAAGTTTCTGTTCTCTCAAATTTTCTAAACCCCGGTTTAAAAAAAACGTGAAATACACAAAAGGGAAAGAAGAGACCCAAGCTGTCCCAGTTCTGGCCTGGAATTCACTAGACAGTTTCCTCTGATCTCAAGGTTGCTGAGATAACATCACATATAATTGCTGTGATCTTAAAGCAATGCCGAAGGGAGGATCCAAGCTGCTAAGAGACATGACCTACCCTAACCATCAAAGATTGTTCCAGTCTACTGGACCAGAATAACAGCCTCAGCAAATTTTCATCTCTAGCAGCATCTCTTGTCTAAGTCAAGTTTTGTCTTAAGGGAGTGGCTAGACATCAGCATTGAGGACTATGACAACTTGTAGTGTCTCATTTATGGCAGTGGTAATGTAAGAATCCAGGCAGACAGCAATTAAAACATTCAAGGTTATGAGTGAGATCTTTCTTCTTGGCCAGATGTGAGGAAAAAGTGTGTGAATGCAAGTGTGGTGTGTTTTGAATTCCCTTCATCTAAAAATCTGTGTGTAAAAGCACACATCTTATTAGTAATATTTTCTCTTTTTTTACCAAACTCAGTTTGCATCAGACAGATTCAAATCTCTCTTAATCCATGTCTGTCTACCACAGAGAGCGAAAGACACTTTTGATGAATCGTTTTAATATTCATTGCATTTTAATGTCATTCAACCACAAGACAGCATTTTCCAGTTTCTATTTGAGTTTAGTCTGCATTATATACTCCGATTTTCCTTCAAACTTGGCTGTGTAGACTTTAGCCAACACTGGATCTTCCCGACTTTCATTTTGAAACTGAAAGCACTGTTAAGTCCCTGGACTTTGTACAACAGATTAAAATTCCTGAGGGGACAGTTTATTTGCAATCAGTGAACAAAAACTGTGGTACACAACACGGAACAAACTGGGGGTGTTGTGGTAGTCACATTCTTCTCAGGGATTCACGGAGAGATTTCTGAGAAATGATGAAGACATGGGTTATGTCTTCACCCCATCCTTTCTGAGTTTTATTAAGCTTTATTTTTTGGCCTTTTATGAGTATATATGAGACAGGAAGCAATGGGAAGGAGAGAGAGGGGAACAGGACTGGCAAAGGACTTTGAGCCGGAACTTGAACTAGGGTCGCCTGAAGCACAGGCTATTGCTCTGACAACATATGAATTTTTGTATTCACAGAAGTTTTAAAGAAATAAGTTTAAAAATCTTAAAAACTTTAAAAATCTGTCATCATTTTCTCACCCAAAGCTTTCCAATGTCCAGCATTTGTACTTTGAGAACCAAAGTATCATAGAAGTCATCCATGTATCTTGTGCATTGTATTCCAAGTCTTCTGATAGCCATATGATACTGTAGTTTTGATGTGACAAAACAGATTTTTCCCTCCTGTGAGCTGTGAGCTGTGCAAAGAGAATTTGATTGAGTCAGTAGTGGTGAACTCGTGAGTCCGATAAACCCGATTCATGAGCAAATGACTCAAATCGGTTTTGTGAACCGTTTGTGAACTTAAAAAGAATGACTTCTCATAAGCTGCCATGAATGTGCAAAGAATGGAACAACATGAAGGTAAATAATAACATTTTAACTAAACTATGCCTTTTACAGACCCTCATTAATTATACACATCAGCCTCCTTTCCCTGAATCAGGTTTTTCTGAAGTTGAAGAATGTTTACATTCTTTCTGTCTTGACCTGCCATCCTAACACTAGTGGGTCGTTGCATTTCGTGTGTGTTCTCTGTATGTTGTTTTTTACACTTAGAAACAGCCCAAGAATGCCAGTGATTGCCACCCACCACCAATATATATTTTACAAGATCACAGAAGTTGCACTATAAAAAAAAATAAAAAAAATACTACTTGAATTCATGGTCGGTTAGTTTAATAGGAGTCATCGAGAGCCGTTAAACCCCAGTGCACTGCCCTATGGTTTGCCTCCAGCATGCTGTCAGAGTCTCTGCACACATTCCAAAAGTTAACATAAATACATTCAATCAACCTCAATGACAGCTGCACTCCCTGCAACACAGTCCCGTTAAAACCAATCTCTGGGATTTGACTTGTTGCTTCTAAGAGCACAGTCACCGTGTCTGTCTTTAACTAGAAGGGATTATTTTCACTGTGTCATGACATTGCTGCTTGCCTCCTCAGACCTGGGATAATCCTTAACTCATGATTTAGGTGGCCTTAAGTGTTTCTAAAACAGGAAACGTCACCATGAAATCAAAATGAACAATTCTTTCTTTTCTTTATTTATGTAATATTGCAGTAATTATTAAAAATGATATATCTGTGCACATCATTATTATTATTTTTTAATTCATGTGCCATTGTAATCAAAACTTCCTCTTCCACTTGCAGCAACATCTCTTCTCTGATGACGTGTTTACTGGTGTGAGGGCGGGACAACCTGTCACTCACATGAGATCACAGCAATAGCAAACTACAATGATGAATCAACGATCCAATCAATTACAAATGGTCACAATCAAGTGACATTTTTTTTCTTGTTCGAGAAGCCGTTTCACTTAAATAGGGAAGAAAAGACTTTCACGACTTCTGTTTCATGCAGACTTTAAAGTGAAAAAAATAAAGACCTGCTCTATGACTCGATAACGATGTCCAGTTTATGAACAAATCATTATTTGAGCCGATTATTTTTATTGAACCTATTGAATCGTATTATGTCGCATCGGATGATTTGTGAATTCAACTTATCCAACAGCAGTGAGCAACTGATTCAATGATCCGGACCGAGTGAATAGCTTGTGTTTTGTGTGTTATTAGGAAGGAAAATTAGGTAAATTAAACACAATTCTCCTTTTTGTATTATGCATGTACAAGTGGTTAAATTCATCAAAGGTGCTGTATGTAACTTTTTGACTGTACTAAAGCACAAAATTACCATAAAAAGTTTTCAGATATTTAGGAAACCATCTAAGTTCACATTTGTTTCTTTGAAAAACAATGTTACAGCCAATTATTCTACTTCCGTGTCGGAATGTCTGTTTTTGTTTTGGTCTGTGGGATTCTGCCCACTGCCAATTTATTCACCCAATTGTATTTCGACACCCCAGATTGCCAGCTGGCAGAAAACACAGCGTATTGTAGCCACGGAGGCCGGCAAACAAATTAGGTCAGAGATCGCAGATTCTACCCGACCTAAAAAGCCTCGGCATCCATCTAAAAAGCTCTATGTAAAGAGGCATATTAAAATGCGGATGAATCAACTCATAAACTTACAGTGTACAGTGCTTAGCATAAGTGAATACCCCCATGCTAAAGTTGACTAAAAAAAGGAATAAAAAATCATCTTAATGCTCTTAATGCCTTATTTAAAAAATAAAATAGGAAAAATCCAACCTTTAAGGACACCAATTTTCTTTGTGAATGCATAATGTATCATAAATAAATAAATAAATATTCTTCCTTAAAATACAGGGGGCATAAGTCAGGACACCCCTAAATTTCCATAGAGCCAGGCAGATTATATGTTAAATTTCCATAGAGGCAGGCAGATTATTATTTTTAAAGCCCAGTTATGTCATGGATCCAGGATACTATGCATCCTGATAAAGTTCCCTTTCAGTTAGCCTAATAGCTGGTTTGATTTGATTTGAGAGATGATCTGGAAAATACCCAATGCCAATTGGAGACACTAATTCATGGATGTTTTTTATAGGCTGATTGTTTTAGACATGGTGGTAATGGATTATAATGTTACATTTTTCTTAGTGTA